CCAGCCCGCGGCGCAGCTTCCCGGGCGGAATCCAAAGGGACGGGCACGGCCGCCCTCGTGTCCCTCCCGTCTCTCCACGGCGAGGGGTCGCGTTACATCTCGGAGCGCCCGCACCTCCCCAGCCCTCTACAGTGGGCACAGGGAAGCCTTATGGAGCTGCTACCAGACAGGAGACACAGCCCCTTCCTGCAACTCTTCTCTCAAGCCGAAGGTCGCATGCCGTGAAATGAGCTCCCCCCAGGAATTCACATTGGGATATTCGTATTTCTTCCTTGAGGATATTCTGTCGCGATGCTGGGAGAGGTTTAAATTTCCCAGCTTGCTGAGAGATAGAAAGACTCTACATGAATCTGCCTTGCAGATGATTGGAGAATGAAACTTGATAATCCATTCATGCAGCATTCAAAGAAAGATGATCCAACGTATCTCAGTGACAGAGGTGGATGAACTGAAACCACCAGGTGAATAATTAGTTTAATTCCCACTTTTACATCACCTAGTTTCCCTGGCACAATCCCCTGCAGGCAAAGGAACGTGCCTGGCTTAATAGGCCCTTACCACCTCCAATTTTGCAATTTTCCAATTACTTAGCATTGAAGAAGATCACAGAATCACCAAGGCTCAAAAAAACCTTTACGATCATCAAGTCCAGCCTATGACCTAGCACCACCACATCAGCTAGACCATGGCACTAAGTGCCACATCCAGCCTTTCCTTGAACACATCCAGGGACAGTGCTTCCACCACATGCCCGGGAAGTCAATTCCAATGTCTAATCACCCTCTCTGTGAGGAAGTACTTCCTAATATCCAACCTAAACCTCTCCTGGAGCAGCTTGAGGCCTTGCCCGCTTGTTGCTAGTTGCCTGGAAAAAAAGCTCAGCCTCCACCTGACTACAACCTCTGTTCAGGTCGTTGAAAAGAGTAATAAGGTCCCCCGTGAGTCTCTGCTTCTCCAGGCTAAACAACCCAGCTCCCTCAGCCAATCCCTATAAGACTTTCCCTCTAGTCCCTTCATCAGCCTTGCTGCTCTCCTCTGGACCTGCTCCAGCACCCCAATATCCTTCTTGAAGTGACGGACCCAAAACTGGACACAGTACTTGAAGTGAGGCCTCACCAGTGCTGAGTACAGGGGGAGAATTACATCCCTACTCCTGCTGGCCACACTATTCCTGATACAAGCCAGGGTGCCACTGATCTTCCGGGCCACTTGGGCACACTGCTGGCTCATGTTCAACCTGTTGTCAACCAGTACTCCCAGGTGCCTCCCTGCTGGGCAGCTCTCCAGCCACTCTTCCCCCAGTCTGTAGTATTGCCTGAGGTTATTGTGACCAAAGTGCAGGACCCTGCACTTGATCTTGTTGAATTTCATGCTATTAGCCTCGGCCCACTGACCCAGCCTGTCCAGGTCCTCCTGCAGCTTCTTCCTACCCTCCCAGATCAACACTCCTCCCCAGTGTGGTGTCATCTGCAAACTTACTGAGGGTGGACTCAATCCCCACATCCAGGTCATCAATAAAGATGTTCAATAGGACTGGGCCCAGTACTGAACCCTGGGGGACAGCTGGACACAGCTCCATTCACCATCACCCTCTGGGCCTGGTCATCCAACCAGTTTTTAACCCAGTGAAGGGTGCACCTGTTGAAGCCATGGATTGCTGGCTTCTCCAGGAGGATGCTGTGGGAGACTGTGCCAAAGGCCTCACTGAAGTCAAGGTAGATCACATCCACAGCCTTCCGCTCATCCACTAGGCGGTTCACCCAGTCATAGAAGATGAGATTGGTCAGGCAGGACCTTCCTTTCCTAAACCCATATTGGCCTGATCCCCTGCTTGTCTTCTACATGCCATTTGATGGTACTCAGGATGGTCTGTTCCATAATCTTGCCAGGCACCAAGGGCAGGCTGACAGGCCTCTAGCTCCCCAGATCCTCCTTCTGGCCCTTCTTGTGGATGGGTGTCACATTGGCCAACCTCCAGTCATCTGGGACCTCCCCCGTCAGCCAGGACTGGTAATAAATGATACCTGGTTCTTGAGGGGAAAATGTTCGGTAACCAGTATCAGCAGTGGCAGATGATGAGGTTGCAGCCACATGAGCAGGGCTGGCTCTGCAGAAGGCACCTAGTGAACATGTGCCCTGCCCATCACACCAACACTATCCCAGCTGGCTCCCTTGGCACTTTGCTGCCCTGCCTGCAGAAAGATCAGCCAGTGCCACAGGATCAGACTAGCTAAGGATTATTTTATGCTCTGGTCCTATTTTAAAATTGCCACAAAAATGTTTAATGCAAATGCTATTCCTTTGTTCTTATTCCTCATCTTTTCCTTGAATTATCAGCTATTACTTGATCACAATAAAAGTTCTCCTGTTCCCTGGGCTGCACTTTGCATTCTCACCATGCCAAGTCCTGCATGCCTTCCCTTCCCAAGCACCATTCAGAGATGTCTTTTCAGCTGATCCATTTTTCAGATACCTCCAGTTTCACAGCAACATGCCAGACCCTTTGGCTCCATCCAGCTGAGTCCCAGTATGACCCAGCAGGGCAACCCAGAAGCCCACAAGAGCTTCCTCTTCTAACAGTCACTTGCCAAAGCCATGGCATAGGAATCACATTTGAGCTGCTACCACAGGTACAGGCTGCTCCTCAGGATGCAGAAGAAAGACCCACCCAGACCCATGCTGCAGAGTGAAGCCCAAAAGGATGGACATGTTTCCTGACATGCAGCACCAACCCTGAAATCCATCACTGGCAACAAGAGCTCCAGCAAAGCATGGAGCTTTGCTGTCATTAAATCCCATTTCCTGGTCAGTGTCAAGTATTGTGTGAAAATTTTATTTTCACTGAAAACTCTGTCACACCCTTAAATCCTCTGAATTTTTTTCTCCACTGTAAAGAACAAAGCTTTAGATAAAAGCATCTGACCAGCCACAGCAAAAATAGAGTAGAAGGCCATGAAAAGGAGCTATCATCTTTTATGCCCAAATAAATTCAATTTTAATGCAACTAAAAGAAAACAGCTTAGGGGAAAGGCTCTTCTTATTCTTCTAATTCAGCAGTATATTAGTTAAAAGGTCATATGATGATGATAGATATTTTTTTTTAAGTTCTAATGTATTTCTTTCCATGAAGTAAACAGTTGACTGAAAAATAACTGAAAATTTCTAATCCAAAAGCTTCAAGAAAGAGTGCTCACCTAACATTAACAGTGTCTCTCAGGAGGAGCATTTCACAGCTTGTGATGATTGGGTGCCATTGAAAGCATGGATCTGAGATGAACAGCTTCAGGGAACACCGTGTTCTCCATCAATATGAAACGCCTCCACATTTGTGTCTTCAAGAGGCACATCTTAATTGTAGAGATACAAACGGGAAAGGAAAATTTATAAAGTGTGGCCATTAGAAATAGTTTAATAAACTCAAGCTTCAAAAGTTTGAAACAAATTTAACTCTAATAGCGGAACCAAAAACATATCAACTGAGACTAATCTGGAACGTTCCTATAAGGAGAGGATCTAATTTCAAATTCAGTCATGCTTGTGTAACAAGATCAAAATGAGAGTGGGAAGTGCGACATAATTATTCAATCTCTTGGCAATTTTAAAACTTTACTTTCAGATAGTCCACCTTATTGCTCAGATGTCAAGTACTTCCCTATGCCTGGGCTGATGTCATCAGTGGTGATGACAACTGCCCCAAACAAACATTTATTTTTCACATTAAAACTGATTTTTTGCAATACTGCCTTAGTGCCCTAAACAATTCTCAGTCACATGCTGAGTGGAGAGAGATGAGGCAAATAAGCTCAGGGATGGCAGTGCTGGGGTGGCTGCAGCCTTTATCCAGGAGCAAAGATGGCAGTCCCATTTCCTTTCAGTTCTTTCCCATCATGCACCAAATGCCAGCAGCAGTCTGGACCCACATCCCATTAAATCTCCGCAGCTGACTATGGTTTGCCAACTCAGTAACATTTTCACTGCTGTGTCCTGCTTACCCCTGGACCTATAGCCATTGTTGCTGGCAAATTCTCTTGCAAGTCCTTGAGGGCTAGTGCTGGCTTTTCATTGCTGTTTGCAAACTATCTAGTCCATTAAGTCTCTTGACTGCTGGGTGGATATTTCAAGCATTATTATAACCAATAATAATTATACAATTATTTTAAAA